GGCTAAAGCAGGTCAACAAGAGGACTGATAGGCGTCCGCCAAAAAGAAAAATTAACACATCTAGAAACGATCTAATTGGTGTATGGTGTCAATCTTACCAGCTAAGAAACCAATACTGTCATTTTTATTGTTTTTCCTTCATCTGGAGGAATTTTAATAACAATCACAGTCCTGTGGTTTGTGGTAGTAAGAAATTCCCGTTCCCAAACGCCGGTTTAGAAGCATCCTTCTAAATCAAACTTAACAAAAGGAAAAGAGAAGAACATTTAATTATACTCATTCTGCTACCAGAAAAGGGTATTTTGTTTTGTCTTTCACTCTCATCTTACCATTAACTTTCTTTCCTCACAAAAAAAAAAAAACGTTCTCTTACAGGAAAATTGGAAGCAACCAATTATTATTCTGTTCCTTGCTCTGTTTGTTATTGTTCTCTAGCTGTGCTACCTGTGTGTGCTTAATAATTTTCCCCACAGAGACTACAAATTAGAAGCACACCCACCAGAGGATCACAGTCACGCCCACCAGAGGATCACAGTCGCTGAGAACTACACTCACCTGTCCATTACACACTCACCGTCAAACCACACTTGACATTGCACACTTACACCTCTGTTTTGCCTTGTTTGTTTTGTTTTGTTTGTTTCCTCTTCTTCAAGGTCTGTGTCAGTCTAGGTTCTAGATCTCCCTCACTGCGCCAAAACATGTCTCACACAACAGACTCTATTGGCCACTGGGAGGACCTCGAGACATGGCTAAGTGTTGCAACAGACAGCCTCCTACCTAAGACTGCTGAAACACTGAAGCATCAGACACAGGTCCAGCTGGATGACAACATAACAAGCCTCAAGAGACAAGACCCAATTCAGAGCTACAGTCACAAAGAACTAGTCAAGATCACTGGGTCCTTAAGTCACACACTCATCGCCACCCTCAAGCTGAGCGACAGGCACGCCGCCCATCTCCAGCAGGAGCTAACACGCGCGCAACAACGCGTCGAACAGCTAGAACTGGAGGCTCAGGAACGACGGGAAGGGCCTGATGAAGTGGAAACAAGGCACCGAGGAGGAGATCACTAGGCTAAAAGAGACCCTAGCAGCTACGACCCAAGAAATGGAACAAGGCAAGGCTGACTACGCTGATCTCTCCAGCAAGCTACAATATGCAGAACAGCTCCTGGAAAAGGCAAAGACCGATTTCAGAGACAAGAATAGCAGAATTAAAGCCCTTGAAACTCACCTGGATGAGTCAAGAAACGAGATCAGTCGCCTAACACTACAGCTGGACTACATCAAAGAGAAGTCCGACAGCATCAGAGAGGAACTCAGACATGCCTACGAGCTGCGAAAGAGAAGTCCGACAGCATCGGAGAGGAACTCAGACATGCCTACGAGCTGCGCCCTGAGCCTACAAGGACACGACGGGCACCAGTCTCACCCCTGCCAAGCAGGATCAAGTTCCCGGTTCCTGGACTGACACGTGATCAAAAGGGGGAGGGGCAGTGCTGAAACATTCACCGGCTCCCTATGAAAAACTTTACCTCACGACAAAGCTAAAAGAATTTGCTCCTGTCATGAATCTCCTCAAGTCTACTACAGCCGACTCAGACGAGCATACTTCGGAACTCGCAACGAACCGGACATGGAAGACGATCTGAACTTCAAAACTCTCTTCCTGAGAAACCTTCATCCTGGGGTAAGCAACCATCTTGGTATCTTTGCATGTCCGCGAACAATGAGTGCTCAACAGTTGCGAGACTTGGCATATAAAGCCTACGGTAAACAAAAGATGGCCTCAGAAAAGGGCGCCAAATCCACAGCAGTTCTTGACTTCAACACTCAAAGTCAAGAGCTGGCTCTAGAGGGCGCCCAACATCAAGACCATGCCAAGCCGCCACACAAAGAGTGGGACACACCCTCGTCCAACAGAGAACGGGACTCCCACGCTGGTACCCGACCTAAACAGAGGAACAACCGCTGGGATGGACCGCGTGGACGACAACACTCACCTGGACGTCACTGGGAAAAATCTTGGGACCAATCCAGACCTGACATCACTGGGAAAAATCTTGGGCCCAATCCAGAACTTGTGAGAATCAATGGGACAGATCATGGAATCAGCCATTTGGAAACTCAAGAGGAAAAAGCTTGTGGGAATCCAACGGAACCTCCAAGGGAAAACGACAAACACACCCTGGAGCAACCAGTCCAAGGAATCGACAAAAGAACTCGCAAAGATTCCGAGCTGACCGAGCTCAAACTGAATCCACACAAGAACAAAAGACATCACTGTGTTTCGACTCACAAGAACTGATGAAAATGATGATGAAAGAGTTCTTCCAATGCAAGGAGGAGGATCAGAAGTGGGCAAAGAAAG